CACCACTTCGACGGAAGCTTGCGTAATAAGGGGGTTAAAACAAGAAAACAAATGCCATGTTTAATACATATCGACCTGTTTTACTTGCGAAAGATAACGGAACATGAACTCGTTTCGTGCGACTTCGGAACCCGAAGGAACACACCAACAACGTTGAATTTACCCGCTATCTTCCAAATATGGTATATTAATTTATTCAGTTGTTTATTTAGAGTGACGTCCGCGGTCGAATGCGATTGGCTATCGATGTCAGTGCAAAGGTCATATGAATATTAAAATTAAGTGGGCGGAAGGAAAATTGTATAGGAGACAAGCTGGAGTCTCGTGTGGCGATAGCGATAACACCGGGACGAATGGTCTGGGGTAGTAAACCGGAATAAGTTGTGATTTTTAACAAAAGTTAAAAATCATGATGAATTTGGTTAAAATACAAACTGTTACAAATTTGTTCCTATAGGGCTTTCATATTCATTGGTTGCTAGGGATGCTATATTGCCTTGGTTTTCATATAATAATAAAATGGGTTTTCAGTATCACATTTACCAATGTATTGCCATCTTTAATAAGCAAACCTCAGCCAATGAGTACAACCAGCATGATAATAAGAAATAAAAATCTGACAACAATCTAACATCACATCACAAATCTCAAGAAAAACTATAATATAAAATGTAAATTGTATGTGAGTCAGATGTATTGATTTGGATCCTGCATCATATAAAAATAACTGTTAGAAAAAAAACAAGTGTGTCAGCATAGTGCTTGTTGTTTTCTGAGCTTTGTCACATCTCCAAAGAAGTCATCTTTGCAAAGACTAGGGTCACTTGACCTTGCTGTTTGGAGGTCACATATCATAGACTTCTTGCAGGCATCATCACATGATGACGTCACATGTAATTTATTGTAATACCTAAAGAATGAATAAAAAAACAAAAGTTGTTAAAGGAAACATCAAGCCAAACAAGATAATGACCTTTAAAGAAAAAGCTCCCCAAATGTAGGAGAATGCAATTTACAGTTTTTATATCACTTTTCATTCTCTAGATATTCAACTTTTCATCGGTATTATGTAGTCAGCCATCTTGATTTTCAAGCAAAGGGTTATGGGTAAAGTATGATCATGTGATCAAGTTTGAACCAAACTGGTCGAAGCATATTTGATATGCAAACCCGAACTCCACACAGTTCGATATGCGTTACTTATCATCACTGCACAAAGCAGCTTTGCATAGAACTCATTTGCATATTCGAATATGTTCGAACTACAAGACCCTGTCGGTTAGCAAAGTTATGCGTAAGTCACTTGGTTACTTCAATCACTTTAATAAGACGTTTCACGCCCTGACTCCGAATAAAATGTTCAGTTAATTAGATTAAAATATACATGACTTGCATTAGAAAAGTACAATCCTTTCCTACATGCCAAAGCATTAGTTTCTACAATAAATAACTAACTTAATAAACTTACTAGAACCTGTGTGTTCTATGGCTGTTTGACACGCAAAATCGAACCCGTTCAAGCCAGAAATAGTATTGAAATATTCACCAGAATACAAGATAAACGGAAATGTTAGGAAACTCCTTTCAGTGAAATTAGTCTTTAATGTTTCTTTCCCAACTATATACGATAACAGAACGTTTTTTCTCCACAGTTTTAGTGTATCACATGCACCATTTCACTACAGTAACATTACCTTGCAAAACATAGTCCGCAATAAAATGGTTCGTATTTACGTTTTTACTGAAGTCTGACATTAATAAATAGTTCGGATGTCACATACGTTTTTTTCCACTTTTTGTAGTACATTTTCAGATGTAACAACTACAGGAAACTGGCCGTGCGTAGTGAGGTGATTGACCACAAAATTGAAGGCTGCCTGTGGCAGAGGCACTATTGTGTAAAGCGCAAAGGCCTCTGGGAAGGAGATTGATGCAAACCATGCCACAAAAATGGTCACCGGTCAGCCATTTTGAGTCAAAATGCCAACAAAAAAACCCACCAAAAACAGGACATACATCAGGCACCCAACATATAAATCCATCATACCAAGTTTGAAACAAATCAGCATAAGCATGTCCAAAAAAAATTGCTGCTAGTGACCATCTTTGATTAGATTGGGATACAGACCAAATTGATGTGATAAAATACATTTGCCTGAGTAGCAAGTTCAAACGTAACCAGGCAACAAGAATTTACGAAATAAAGCAATATTGTGCAATACTGTGTCCAGTCGGGGACTAAAAATTCAGATGGTCTCATCTGGTAAACGCATCAATAGAATGAACCAACTTAGTACAGATGAAACAACCAAACAAATATCTTCGCTTGAATTTCCAGGAATACAATTTAGCTAATTAAATATTTAAAAAAAAAACAGGAAATATTTTTTCATCTGAGAGAATAGTCTGTACTTGAGTGTGGAAAAGGAAACAAACAAATTTCGAATTGTCATTTTAAAGTATGCAAATTAGCTGATTATATATTCATTAACAGAAAACTTTCCCACCATAGAAAGCAGTAGTTGCATTTAAATACCTGTAGAATTCTTGAAACAGAGTGTCATTCTTCTTAAACGTGTCAACCACTTTTTGCCAATCTGCTGGCAGCAATGAAGTCATGTTGAAGGCAGACTAAGAATAAAACATACATTTACCCATAATGCATCACAGTCACATGACAATGAAAACTTCCTCTTTGAAGGTATAGTTCAATATATCATACACATGAAAAGATAATGTTCTGGTAAGGCATCAAAAATTCTCAAAATATTTTTTTTCACTATAAATGTTGACTTTCTGATAACCATATTTTGATCAGAATTGGTTTTTAATTCTTATTGGAACAATTAAGTAAGTATTCGAGTCAATAGGACTTGGGAGCGTACTTCAACTGAAGTGGATCCTCAAGTACAAGTGACAAACTCTAAACACACACATTAGATTAATTTAGCTGTTATAAATAAAATATAAATATGCAAAGGATATGAAATAAAACTTTATTCAATTGATTGATCCCTGACACAAACCCTCCATTCAGTAATCATGAGTTCTTACTTTGGCGGAGTATTCTTTGAACCATGTTGTGTTTCCTGTTAAATTGGCATCTGTCAAATTCATCACATATGTGGAGTGATCCAAAACAACCTGAGAAAATAAAAAAAATAATGGTAATGATATGTATTATTGTAAAGCGTTTAATTTTCGCTTTTAGAAATGTTTTGAGAATTTGACGGTATTTGTGAAGATGTTCATAAAAGTCACCAACACTTGCTATTGTAGGACAACAAAGACATTTTCACTGCTAAATGTTTCACAATTTTCACTTTGTCTCTCGTAAAATTAAATCGCTTCACTCTGATTTTTGCACATATACCAATTTTTTTTATGAAAGTTGAAAAAATTATTACAGAAAAAATCAAAGAAAGCTTAGAAAGAACTCCCGTGTGCTGAGAGTATTGAAGACACATTAAAAATTACCGGATTCGGCTAATACCCCCGCCCTGGGCGATCTTATGGAGGATTCGATTTTTTTTTAGAAAAATGTGGACCAAAAGATCGCCCGGGCGATCTTTTGACAGATATTACGAGGCCCATCTTGTCTAAAAAAATAACCCTGCGTTGATAGAAATGGTCTAGAAAAAATAATGTTTCGCGTTGACCAAATATAATCATGCAAAGTATAAATTCAAAGTGTTTTAATACATTTGGTGAGAGGTCGCATTTTACGTGAACAAGAACATGCACTAAGAAGAAAAAGCAAGTCAAAGTCGAAATGGGGTGCATCATGGACATGACAACACACGCTGCGACAACTGAGTGATTAGCGACATAATTTTGGGACGCAATTGAACTTGAAGTACTTCTTTGCGAAACTTGCTGCGCGGTGATGCTGGCATCAAGTGTGTGTTGACCGAAGTTTGACCCCAAGTCACGCGCTGAACTGGCGCGTTACCTTAGCAACCTTTTTCTTCTGCGGTCCGCGCGTCGATCTAGTAAAATTTTTATTATATTCGACGGTACTGTAATTACGCAACTTGTATGCAACTCTGCACTGGCTTTGAATATATCAACGTCGTTGACTTAGTGCACTGCTTTTCTAATTACGCAAATTTGTTTACAATATTGTACCAGCTCTGAATATTTCAACTTTGTATTAAATGTATTGCTTTCATGATAATTACGCAAACTCAAGTTAATTTTTACTATTGTTAGGGCACTGACCCGGGGTATTGGGTCTGTGAATATTTCAATATTACCGACTTGATAATGCGTTGCATTCGTAATAATTACGCAAACATAAACATTGGCGCATTTAAATCATTAAAAATGATAGTAGTCGGGTATCTACGGAAAGTCGAGAAAATATTTTAAATACTTGTGATTCATCGATGTTCCAAATGGTGATCTTTTTATTCGAAATGAAGTGAACATGTAATAAAAACCATACCATGCGTCAAGTTAAATTTTACTATAATATAATAAACTCTGGACAGCGCACTTCGATCGCAATATTCACGTACATTTCGACTGAACTCTAAAAACCACGCGTTTGAGTTCACGCACTGATATTTAAATTCGGGCCACCCAGCTTGACGCAAATCAATATAGTTACTTGTCATGTGTTCAAAAAATCTTTCAACTCTCACAAATACCATGAACGCGAAGAGCCAACTGGGGGTTAACTGAAAGAGAACGTCTTTTTTGGAGAAAAAACACGTCAGTACAAGATTATGTGTACAAGGTTAGCTTTATAGAACGCACATGATCGCTTAACTCTGTGTTTTTTAATAATCATGTCGCATTTTAGTTCGCCATTTCTTGTTTACCAACATTTTGTCTGGAATGCGATACAGACAAAGATTAAACATTACTGATAACAACCGAGAGGCTCGAACAAGGAAGGCTTGGATATTTTAAACTTCGGAAATAACATTCTTTTCAAGCGTAGACTTTATTCGAGTGTAATAATACGCAACAACAATTCGTTTACAGCATTGGTTTTATTAAAGTTTTTAATGCTTTTGGGCTTCACAGTGAATTATTTTAGCGTCATATTTGAAATAGCGCGCTCGATACAAGATGTCGGACGGGAAAATTGGGGTCTGTAAAAATGTTGGTTCAGTCAGGCAATGTGTGGACCAAAACATCGCCCACTATTTGAAACATCGCCCATGGGCGGGGTTTAGGATGGGCGGGGTATCAGCCGAATCCGGTAATTCAAAATTACTTGTACATGAGATATTGATGGAAAAGCTGAAAACTAATTATGTAAATCAGGTAACTAATATGAACAGAACAAAACAAAAAAATTATGAATTATTATGCTAATTAGAGAATTAATATTAATCAAAATTAACCAGGCCTGTCTATTGTCCTAGAGCATTTATGTACCAAATTTTATTCAAATGTGATGATCAGTAATTGAGATATCAGTGTTAATTAATTATGTTAATTAGGTGATTAATAAGCATAAATATTTACCAAAAACTAATTGGGTTTCTGCATAGTTCTCTTTAAAAGTTTCATTAAAATCCAATTTGTGGTTCTTTATATATCAGTGGAACATTATGCAAATTAGGTAATTAATATCCAATTAAAACTAATCAGGTGTCTGCATAATCCTAGAAGATCTATGTAGCAAGTCTCATTGAAATATGATGATTACTACTTGATATATCAAAAACTGAAAATTAATAATTATGCAAACTAGATAATTAATATGTACTCATATTACCCTAAAAACTATCAGGTCTGTGCAGTGTCCTATGACATCTATGTATCAAATTTCATTGAAATGTGATTACTACTTGAAATATCAAAAGCTGAAAATTAATTAATTATGCAAATTAGGTAATTAATATGTACTCATATTACCCTAAAAACTATGAGGTCTGTGCAGTGTCCTATGACATCTATGTACCAAGTGTCATTGAAATGTGATGATTACTACTTGAAATATCAAAAGCTGAAAATTAATTAGGTTCTTTAGATATCAGTGGAACAGTCATGGAACAGCTAAAAATCAGCTAATTATCATGCAAATTAGGTAATCAATATGCATGGATTTTTACCAAAATCTGTGCATTGGCCCAGAGCATCTATATATCAGTGGAACAGACAGGGACACACACACACACACACACACACACACACACACACACACACACACACACACACACACACACACACACACACACACAGACACACTAACTGCAAAGACCCCCTTTTTGTGCTTCGCACACGGGAGTCAAAAATGAACATGTACAAAAACATGTGATGGGAAATGACAGTGATAATATTCACTCAAGTTCTTATAAGTTTTTCCCCAAGCATATATCTATTTCTTACTCGAGAGCTGCTATTGTAATTTCCATCAATGTCGTATAATCTGTAGTTAGGGTTTAGAAAGCTATACGTTGTGATACTACCACCGATGTACGCTATGTTGGTCGGTCTTTTCAGTGTCTTCTCATCATAGAATAGTTCGAATGAATCATAGTGGGTGTGACCAAAAAACTGAGCAACGATAGTACTCTCATATCTGGTGAAAAAAATAAACATGATGTTACACTCTGATAAACTGTAGGTTTCAAACTACCATTATAATTTAGAATTAAGCCAGGAATCAGTTACTACCAGTGATAACACCAAAGGAAGCTTATTATGAATGAGGAAAACAGAAAACTTACCGGTTAACAATTTTATAATAATTCCAACTCCATGCTCGAAGACATCCACCGTTACCGGGATTGATGTGGCCATGATGTGGACTTTCTCGTCATTATTTTCAGCATTTTGGAGCACGTTTATAAGCCATTTTAATTCACCTCCTGTGTCAGTCGTATTCAGCAGCAACCAGAAGTTACCATTGTTGCACATGTTCATATTTAACGAGATCAAACGGAA